TGTCCCCTCCAGGTTGTAATCTGTCAATTGGGGGATAGCTGCGTGCACAAACAACTTCCAGGCAGGTGTGTAGGCTACAGCTTCTGCTGCGCTCTGCGAATACGGCGGAGAGAGGCAATAAACCTGAGAAGCGTGGGCTGGGAAGACTTATCTGGAGGGGAGCTCACGTGAGATTGGTTTGTAAGGGGGCGGGACTTCCAAAGATAGAAAGTGCGGAGGTAAGGGACTGAAATGTTAGAGGAGGTCAATATTTGGAAGCGGTTGCACTTTTTTCCTTGTCTAGGACCAAGGACGATGTGATGTTTCAAGCACATGAGTAGAGCGCTGGATGTATTTTACGCAGCCCATCCTTTTAAAATGTATTATTAATTGGGATTTAATACATATATCATATCATTCCATAGTTCGATCGCGACAAGTAGAATTGGATCATTGCGACCACCATCCGTTTCCAGGCATTCTTTCTCTACTCTAAGCAGCCTGTTCTTGGCAATGGGTGAGAAACGTTAACAAGGAGCAGGCATTGAACATACTGGGTAGCTTACTTTGTGCCTTTCACGGTCTGTCTGAGTCCGTGGCATGCATTAACTCATTTAATTCACACAGTGACCCAAATGAGATTGGTGCAGAGAGAGGTCAAGTAACGTGTGAGGTCAAAACAGTAGCCAGGAAGGAGCGGAGCCATGATTCGCACCCTGATAATCTGGTTCTAGAAGGCACATCCGTAATTACTTTACTTTGCTGCCTCTAAAAGCTAGAAGCTGGAGGAAATGAGACGATTTCAGCAGCTCCGTTTCATTTCAAGGCAGATGAATTTCCTAAGCAACACTTGTCACCAACAAATTAATAATATCTTTTCTAAAGACATTTTCAGATTCAGACTTCTAGAATTTGGGTTAGCAATTCAAAGCATCTGTAACAAACATGATCTCAGCAAAAATAATTGTGACCACGTTTAACAGGCTATCCATGCCGAGGATATGAAATGAAAAATGGAATTTTGGTATGAAGACTTAAGAGGTGAATTGTGGGAAGTCAGTTAGAGTTTTAGAAGTGGAGATAAGGCTTTGACTCACTTCCTTTGTAATCATTTCTAGAAGCTGAAGTGACTTCAGAAAATCTGCCCCATTCTTATCCTTCGTCCATGCGAAC